CACGTCGGCACGAATCTGGAACGTCTGCGCGCGTGGCGCACACCAACAACAAACTCGTCATCAGCCACATTCTACAGCTCCATACAAGGAGCATTCGGCAAGATTTGCCCCCGGGACCTTAAGCAACAGTCTTGAGTGTGAGCCTTGAGGATACTGATACAGCAGCTTCAAGACAGCGGGCAGCATTCATGGATATGGCAAAGCTGCCATGTCGTGAGTGGGATCAAGTAATGGTCGAACGTATCCACGGTTTGTCTTTCACGCACAACATGGTCGATCGCACGGGCACTCGTCGATATTCAAATGTCTTTCACATTGACTCATTTGTGCTTTACGATTAAGAGGCTATGCAACAGAAGACTGCGCTTGAAGACCTTTGGCAAATTTTTTAAAGAGTGAATGAGGCCGTTTCGAAAGGCGCGTGACATTGTGAACTGCACTCGAAAGCTCATTGGTGCCCAAGCGATCGCGCTGGTGTACTTTGCGTGCGTACGAAATTACTCATCCTCTACCGTCGCCTTTGTTGAGCGCTTTTTGACGTCGGACGCGTCAGCGACGGCAGTGGATTTGGCCTTTGGCTCATCCACTTTTTTGCCCTTCGAGGCGGTCGATGCCTTTTTGGCAGGTGCTTTGGCAGCTCCTCCACCACCAAGCAGACCGCCGAGCAGGCCAATGAAAGCGAGACCACCAGCGATAGCCGCTCCGATGCCACCCGCCACATCTGGCTGGGCTTTGATGGCGCCGACGGGGTCTTGGCGCGCAGCTGCGATAAAGTCTTCGAGTTTCTCGCGCACTTGCGCAACGACACCAGGTCCACTAGCAGCCTTGCTAGCCTTCTTCTCTTCCTCCTTCTTGGCAGCTTCCTCCTTCTCCTCCAATCCTTGCTCAACTTTCAGCTTCTTCGCCCAAGATTCTTCTGCAAGTGTCTTGGCGTCCTCTACGCTATGTCCGACGTAGATGTTGTCGAAGAGGATGTTCTCATCCATGGTCCAGATCTCGTACCCAACGGCAGCGATGCTTGTGAAATGAGAAGGCTCGAGATCCTCGAAGAACTTGGGGTTCGGGATCTTTGCCGGCTTCCACTCGCCCTTGTACGCGGGATTGTCAATGAGAGGCGCGTTCCACGGACCTTTGAAATCAGGATTGCTCTTTGATGGCCTAATCCAAGGGCCACAGCCTGGCGCCGTCGTGCACTTGGGGTTGGGTACCAGTGCAGCCGTCCATTCGCCGTCTTCCTCGTCGTCCCACTCCTCTGGCTTTTTGGCATCGGGATCCGGCACCACTGCGGGCTCATCATCCAGCCAGCCTTCCGGCTTCACAGCGTCCTCATCGGGAATAGCAGCGGGGGCCTGCAATCGACAGCCGGCTTGTCGTGAGCCTGGTATGCCTCAAGCGTTGGGACTTGTACACTCACATCTTCGTCCCAATCATCTGGTTTCTTGGCATCGGGATCAACAATCTTCGGAGTGTCAACCCAGTCAGCGGGCTTCTTGTCCTCCGGGTCATCTGCAGCGAGAACAGCAGCAGACAATCAGAGTTGTCCTGCAAATACTGATCTCGCACGAGGAAACCTCACCAATCTCCTTTGGTGGGTTGACAGGAGGCTCAAAGTCCTCCAGCAAGCTACCCTTCTTCTTGGACTCGTTGTTGATCAAGATCTCGTAGGTTTGATCAGGGCTTGGCGCAGAGATGTCGATGTTAGCTTAATATGCAAGACCGAGATGCTGCCCTACTCACTTGACGATAAGAGTATACAGTGCGCTGGTTTTGGCAAGCTTAGGATAAGGAGGATTAGCGAGGTGCTTCTCTTCCAGCTCTCCAGTCTTTGGATTCTTGTGTCTGAAAATGAAGTGCACTTTGTTCGTGGAGCCGCACTGGAGTGGATGAGGAAGAGCAATGACGCATCAGCATCAGCATGGCCATGCGCTGAGCTCTTGCCCTGTCAGCAGTCGATCAGCAGAGCTCACCTTGTCAGGGCCGAACATGATCGTGTATCTGCGGTCAAGAAATGACAAGTGAGCGGATTTTGAGCCAATGCGTCTGCCTCTACCTCCACCGCACGTCTGCCATGCCTGGAGATGGACTCACGGCGTCTTGTCGCTGAACTCTTTCGCTTGGATGCCTTCAGGACTTTCGCTAAGGAGCTTCATGTACGCTCCGCCGCAGGTCAGACCATTCTGGAGCTTTGTCTCGTACTGCACCACGAATGGCTTGCCCTCCTTCATAGCCTTTTTTACATCGACAGGTGCAGGAAATTGGGCAGAGATGGCGTGCTGCGCTGCCTTCGACTTGGCAACCAGCCCAGCGTCTCCCTCGAGTCCTGGAAATACCGTCGGCTCCTCGACGCTCCATTCACCAGAGTAGGCAAACACTTCACCACCTGACTGCTCCTTGGTGGATGCAGAGGGGGACCATCGCTCGGACCAGTCTCCAGTGAACTGCTCCAGGAAGGGCGCCTTGATGGAAGTGGGCTGTGATGCGAGCAGAACTCGTCTGAGTGAGAGCGCCTGTGTAACGGATGCGGACAGTGAAGAGACTCACCACAAAAGCTGGGCGCTCTGCCTCTACAGCAGAGGCAGCCACGAGGACTGCACCGATGGCGAGTGCTGCGTGCGACTTCATGGTGGTGCGATAGAGTCGCCTTTTCTTGCTTGCGAGACAGATAGCTTGAGCAGAGGGA